GGAATGCTCTGCGTGGCTGGAGAACAGGAAAGGGCTGGCCACCCTACTGAGTAAGGTGGCCTCTGGCCTGCGGGTGGGCAGCGGGCACATCTGCAGGTTCCTGTGCCAGCTTCAGGCCTGGGCTTCCTCCCAACGGTGACAAGTGGCCATTGATAGTTGCTGTGAGAGCATGGTCAAGTTCAGGTTTAGAAAAGACTGCTTTTTAAAATAGGTATGCAGCAGTGACAGGAGTTGAGCAGAAATTATCTCAATTCTGTGTAGTTGGCTGGCATGGCATTCCCTCTGAAACTGACCCCCCACCACAAAGAGAGAGAGAGAGAGAGAGAGAGAGAGAGAGAGAGAGAGAGCACTTCTACCAACAGCTCCTGAAAAAAAATTTCAAAAATCACCAAAAACAGCTTCTTTCCCAGTTTTGGGCCATTGTCAGTCGTCTCACAGCTCTCTCTCTCTCTCTCTGTGTGTGTGTGTGTGTGTGTGTGTGTGTGTGTGTGTGTGTGTGTTGGGGGGTGAGGGCTGGTCAGTGACTAGCTTTTCTCCCTCACTACTTGATGTTTAAACAGTTTGCAAAGAGGCCTAGAGTCATGTATGAAAGAGAAAAACTGAGCTCAGTGTCCCCAAGAAACCCCTCTGTTCCTGGAAAACCCCGAAATGGAAAGAGGAGTTAAGTGCTGGACGGAGAGCGTATCAGCTCTGCACTGAGCCTCTACATGAACTTGGGACACGTATTCTGTATTCGCAAGTCTCCATCTCCCCCCTGTGCAAAATGGGAAAGAGAACTGCCAGTTCTGCCTGCTTCCTGGGGGGCTACAATGGAATGAGAGAACAAATTATTGGAAAGTAAGAGTTAAAAGTTATCGTTTAGAATCATCTATATGGAGCAAGACTATCACAATATTAATAACAACTAACGTTTATTGAATGCTTTCTTTGGGCCAGGCAACTTCATTTCCCTTTTTAATTCTCACATGACAAAGAAGGGGATGACCCCGAGGTGTTAAGTGATGTCACCAAGGTCACAGAGCTAGTTAGCAGCAGAGCTAGGATTCAAATCCAGTGCTGTCTGGCTCCAGGGGCTGCCCTACCCGTTACCACTGTGGACTGTCAGCTGGTAGTCACTTAGTAGTCTTATGA